TCATTCAACACATATTTACTAGGTGTGTGCTATATATTCCACCAGAGTTAGTTACCGTTGTTGGGATTTAAAAAAAAAAAAAAAAACCACTAACTATAACCTCTACCCTCATGGAGTTTGCAGCCTAGCAAATTAAAAGGCTATTATTAAAAGTTAATTTTAACTTTTAAAAGCACACAAGTAAATATAAAATTGCAACTGTGATAAGTGGTACAGAATAAAAGAATACATGCTATGAAAGTTTAGGAGAAAGGATTTACAGAAGTTCAAGTAAAAATTTCAGAAATTTTGAACACTATTCTAAACAAGTTCTTGTTCTGAATAAATTTTGAACCAAGTTTAAAACACTTCAAATCTTCCTCTTTATCATTACAAAGATTAATAGTTTGAATTACCTGTTGCACTTTAAGCATACCCTGTGTGCATAATAACTTGACCTTACCATGAAATGGATAATGCCACAAGTAAATATTCCCATTAATCATATGAACCTGTGCCCTGTCACACAAGTAAATGTGTTCCTCCCTTTCCACACACCATTGGAGATAACTGGCCAGTTTGAAGGGATGTCTGATGTCAGTGTTGTTTAATGTATGATTGGTGTTTTCTTCTAAGAATCCTTATATCCAGAGTAAATTCCAGCTTGGGATTTTAGATGGTGGTAGTTAGTAGATACATTTTTAAAAGCTTACACTTACAGAATTGATTATTATACAGTCTAATTTAAACATGAAACCATAAATAAAGATTGAGTCATGAGTGTTTATAAATATTCTAAATTGAGCTGAAGTCCTTGTTTAAATTAAAAGTGCCACTTTTACCCTATGTCAGAAATCTTAAAAAGTGCATTTTGTTTTTACAAATCAAACCAATTATATTAACTAGTGGGTTATATTAAGTCACGTCCTGCCCCTTAAAAACTTTTCAAATATTTTAAATGTATAAGGTCAGGAGTTATATATTCTTGTTTTAGTGGATTTTGAAAGGATATTTAAAAGTATTTTTGTATGTATGCAAACTGCCAAATTAATTCTGAATGGACTGCGCTTAAATTATTGTCATAATTGAGTCATCTGTCTTCATGGTTAGCTTTGAAAGAGTTTTTTAAACTCCTTATTGGTAGGATTATTGATGTTATTTTTAACTAATTTGGCAGTATGTGGCTACACACTTAAAATTTTTTAAAACAAATTGTGCAAAACTAAAAGTAGTTATAATGAAGTTGTTTTTCAGTCACAGAGTGGCTGCTCTCAAATGAGATGAAAACTGAAGAATGTTCTTGTGTATATGCCAAGAGGCTTCTGGGATGGGCATATTTTTAAGAACTTAGAACATAAACAACTGTGATCTGTGGTAAAAGATTTAAATGACCTCATAATGACAGTGAGAACAAAGCATTTTTTAGTTATCATGGTGGTGTGTTAATTCATTGCAGTGTGTTTGTCATTCTACTATTTTGGTGTGTTAAAATGAAAGAGTCAAGCAAAAAAATTACAGACTGTATTTTAACTAAAGATGGTATTTCGTTATTGTTGTAAACAAACTAAATATCAGAAAAATATATTTCCTGAGAATAAATATTTTATGAATTATTCTAAAGAGCTAAAGGTCTTTTATTTAAAAAAAAAAAAACCCTATTCACATCATCACTTTGGGATTTAGCCATTTTTTGAATCCTAAAGTTTTGATTCATTTTCTGTTGGAGAGAATGTTTCAAACATGAAAGATCAAATAGTTGGCTCGAAGTAAGAATCCCTCTTTCAGGACAGATCAATTAAGTGTTTATTAAGTACTTAGTATGAGTCTGGCACTATGCTAAATATTATGGAATACAAAGGAAAGTGACTTTAGCTGCCTTTGGTCTGTCTGGAAGAAAAGACACACTCAGATGAAACTTGTGAAGTTATTTAAAGACATTGTATAATCAAGTACCAAATAGTATCACTTATATGATACAAAGAATGAAATAACCTTTCTTTTCAGAGAGGACTTTGGATCATTATCTAGGGCAGTGATGTTCATGTAGGGGTGGTTTTGACTCTTCTCTCCCCAAGAGGACATTTGGCAGTGTCTGGAAGACTTTTTTTATTTTTGTGAGTAGGGTTACTAGTATTTAGTAGATAGGCCAGAAGTATTGCTTAATATCCTATGATGCACAGGATAGTTCTTTAAAACAAGAAAGTATCTGATCCATCATGATAATGGCGTTGAAATGAGGCAACATGATATTGAACCTACAAATGCCAAAGCTGGTAAATTTGGAAGTTAGGAAATTGACTTCTTTGTCCCCCTGGACCTCTTCTGCCCCTTTCGATGCTCTTTACTTAAGACCCATGGGTCCTAAAATGAGATGAGCATTGTGAATCCATAAACTCCCTGAACACTTTATGCAGACTTTTCCAGTATAGTGTTTACAGGAAAGATTCCAAAGCTATTATCAAGTTTTCCATGTATTCATGTTCCCCAAAAAGAAAGATTAAGACCCACTCACTATGGACTGGAAGTTAATAGAATACATCAAACCAATGTTCTAGCTACCTAAAAATATAACAACACAGAGCCTTCCTTACAATTGTGCTATGGTACAGGTAGAGTTTAATTTCAGGGATCAGATGTAATCAGAGGATACTTTTTGGTGAAAAAAAAAAATAGTCTAAATATGTTAATCTAATATTTTGAAATATTAAAATCATTCTTGGTGTATGATGAAATTAGACTGCTTTAAAGATTATTAAAACATTGAAATCTAATAATACAGTACTGTGTGCTTAGAATTTGACAGGACTGATTGTGTGCTGACCATAGGCACAATATGTAAATTGTGGTTTTTGTTACTTAAATGAACTTGTTTTGTCAGGATTTGCCACTTTTCTATCAAATGTGGATCCCACTTTATATTCCCTAGGTGTTATGTATCTGTTGATTCAGTAAGTTATCTGGATATAGTTTGATACAGTCCACATTTCTCCTGAAAACTGTTTAGTAAATTGTGTTTTTCTTAAACATTTTTGAATTGAGGGTTATGTTTTAGACTTGGCATCCAATTAATCAGAGATCCTACCAACAGTATGTCATAAAAATAGATCTACATAACCTTGTATGTACATATAATTTAATACTTTTCTAAATCATAGAAATTTGGAGATTAAGTCTTGGCTTAAAAGCCAAAAGAAAGGGACCTTAGAGATCTCTATTCCAGCTGTTTCATACTATTCTTTGGGGGTCAAGACCCAAAGCACTACATTTAGTTCTTTCATATATTTGGACTTCTACCAAATATTTTCTTGAAAGGAAAAAAATGATGTATGTGGGATGGGGGAGTTGCATTCTTCTAATGTAGATTAACCTCATTTTGCAGATAAGGAACCTGAGACCCAAAGTTTCACATTTTGTTCATGGACTGCACATTTTTTTTTTCTGGGTCAAACCAAGATGTTAGATGTATTTGGTAATTGTATAGAAGAAAACCAAAAGTTCAGTTTCTAACTGTGCAGCTTCCTAGCGGCATGTTCTTAGGCTAGTTGCTAAATGTTCTGTTTTTGTGTACTCACCAGAAAAAAAGGAAATTACATTCTTAGTAGTGTTTTCATTTGCTTAGAATTTAGGATATATCTGGAAAGATAATCAGGATTGCCTTTGTCTCTCTAAAAAAAGCATTTTGAATTATTCCATTAATTGTTTATTATAATAATATTTGTTATCTAAATAGTTAAGCTCCCTCCTCCCCAAGCAAAAGATTGGCCAACTATCACCTCCCAAGATTATTACAGAACAAAACAAGCATCTTTATCAAAGGGTATAGCACAGTAGTCATATTTCCATTCCTTTTTGGCAGTAGTAAAGCTCTTTATGGAATGATAGATCAATTTTGGGCTTTCACCTTCTCACTTTCTCCATTTATTATATATAAACTGCATAAATGCATAAATACATGAATTAGGAGCTGCAGAATTTAAGGAACAAAGATCTATGAAATATTGATACAACAGCAAATGACTGCATGTGAAGAGCTATGAAGAACAGACTGACCTTGTTGGTCCTGTTGATCATAAAGATGTGACCTACAGGGCCTCCCCAGTGGCGAAGCGGTTGAGTGCTGGTTTGCGAAGCTGCCTGCAACCTCTGTCGCGCCGGTTCGATCCCCGGCCGCCGGGCGAGGGTCCCACATGGCGTGCAGACCTCTCCTGCCGCCCACTGCTCCCCTCAGCAGTGTACTTCGTCAGTCTGCCTGTTCTGTTCCCCGCTCTGGCTCTGTTGAATTCTCTCACCCTCCCGCACTTCTGACTGTACCCAGTGCTTGTACAAATAAATAAATAAATAAATCTTTTTTTTTTTAAGAAAATCTTTGTTTTTTTAAAAAAAAAAAAATGTGACCTTACATAATGCTTGAGGAAAGTTATGAGAATTCTTCCTTGCAGCATGTTTATTACACAAGGATTGTCTTAATAAATGGTTTTACAGCCACCTGTAGTTTCCAGGGAATAAAGGCTTTCACTTGGGTGACAGAAGCAAGTAAAAACACTGTGTTAAAAGTCCACTGACCTTTTGCTACCAAAAATTAACTAGATTATTTTATTTTAGTTTACCTTAATTAAAAGCTCAAAACAATTAAATGTAGATGAATGAAGACTGAACCTAAAGGATTTTCTTATCTCACTTGACCATGTATCAAGTACTGGCTTTGTCTATTTTGGTTTGGTTAGATTTTTTTTTTTAATGTTTGTTGTTAGGAAATAGCTTTGATATAAGTTGATCCTATATTACTCTTATTTAAAATTCAGTGTTGCATTTTATCTTGCTACCCTATAGATATGTTGTAAATAATAGTTTTGAATGAATGAAGATAAAACCTCTTTAGAAGTTATTTGTTCTTCTTATTGAGGTAATGTTAGGGTCTCCCTCCCCCCTATCAGGTATCACCACTGTAGTATACCCACCACCAAGTTACCCATAGTCCACCACCAAGTATGACATTTTAAACTATTTGTGTTTTTCCTCAGGTCTTAAAGAAAATGCAGAAGAGATGGTCAAAAACAGATTAGAAGGAAAGAATCAGCTGACCCCTTGGGAACAATTTTTGGAGAAGAAGAAAGAGAAAAAAAGACTGAAAAAGAAACAGAAGGTAGCAATGATAATTATGACTAAATACTGAATAGTAGTTACGAATTATGGTGCTCGTACTTGGCATCCATTATCTCATAATGTAAACACTCACTAGAGTAGCCCTAACAGTTACTGCAATTTCAAGAAAGGGATGAACCCTATGGGGCAGATGTTTTCTGCAAAGCCACAAAATGATGTATAAGCCATGGTAATAGCCCAGAGCCACTTTAACCGCTGTGCTCTAACATCTTATTTTTACATGCTACCTACATAAAATACATAGTTAATATACAAATGTAAAGCATTATGTTCTTGCTGTGTTCTTCAGTAAGAAAGGTGTGTATGGACTTTTTAATTTGAGAATATATACATACAGAAGTTTTTAACATGGTGAAAATTTTGTGTGCACATTTCTATTTCGCAACCTACATTTTTCACTTATTATTATGGCTCTTTTAACATCATTCTATTTTAAAATCCCTTTATTAAGACTATTTCCTGTATGCTAATATGATCTCTAAGAAAAATCTGATTTGACTTCCATCATTCAGGGATAACATTTTTTCCAGAATTAAAATCCCTAGTAATAGCAAGACCAGAATCTAGATCTCTCACTCAGTGTTCTTTCTTAGGTACTGTAACTCTCTTTGTACTATGTGGCACACTTGTGACTTTCAGTGCTTATGAAAATAGAGGACTGCAAGTTGAATGATGCCATGGAATGATTTTTTTATACCCCTATTGTAGTTAAGTGTTTCTGGAAATGGATAATAAAATGAAATGGGGTTAGAACCCTGCCCTCATTGTTATACTTCCCCAGACTTCCTTTAAAACTAAGTAGGTGGTAAAATATCTTTTAAAAAGAGTAAAATTCTTCAAGATTAAGCCAGTGTATTAGAAGACTTAGAAATGTTTCTTTATAGGAATCAATCAAATAATCACTTGTTTTTGAGACCTTTAGCAGCTGTTCTCTTTGATTTTCATTTCTTAGCTTTGAACTTATCTTGTGCTTTTTCTCTTTCCCTTCATTGGACTAAGATAAGACTGGACTGATTTTAACATTGAAAATACATCTGTTGAGTGCCCAGTCTGTTCTAGACTCAGTGCTCACTACTACACTTGGTAAATCCCACAAATCCCATCTACCTCCCTAGGTTTTTCTTTATATTGATTTCACAACCTCTTACAGATACCAAAATTCCTGAATACTCAAGTCGCTTAGAGTCAGCTCTCCATATCTGCTTATTCTACATCCATGCATTCAACCAACCCACCTCCATAGGTGGTTGAATCTAGGAATGGTGTGCCCAGGATATGATTAACCAACTGTATTGAAAAAAAAGCCATATATAAGTGAACCTGTACAGTTTAAAACCATATTGCTTAAGAGTAAGCTGCATTCTTGGTTAAAAACATGTTATAGCTAAACCTATTGTAATAATTTGGTGATAAAAAAATTCCTAGAAGCTTTTGTTCTGAGAAGGTTATTAATATTAGGAGTTTTTAGGGGTTGGTTAGTCCTCAACTTTTTTTGTTAAGATGACTTAAAGATGTTGTAGATTCTGAAGATAAATTCAATCTGGTTAGTCTGATCTTAGCTCACATACGTTCTGTTTATTTTTTGTAACACTTGATTTTTTTCATCTAGGTATACAAATTTAGTAGTAAGTCTGTCAGATTTGATTAGGGACAATTTAATTAACATATTTGCTTAAAAACAGCCCAAGAGTTTTCAGGGGTGGATTATAAATAAAACAAGATACTTGTTGAAATTGAGTGGTAAGAATATGGGTTCATTATGCTGTTCTTAACTACTTTTGTAATGTGAAATTTTTATGTTGAAAATCATTTTCATTGACCAGCAAATAAATTGTTTTCAGTAATAATTTAAAAGATAACCCATGATGTACTACTTTAAGCTATTAATAGTCTTAGCATTCCTCAGTATTGTGATACAAAGCTATCTCTTCATAATTCCTAAAAGTATTCTCTGAATGTCTGTATTACTTTATCTCTTATAGCATTTTCTATGTTGAAGTATTATCCCTTATGTATAATCTATTTATGCATCTAACTTAGGTAGATTTTAAAGTGTTTGATGACAGAAACTATGTATCTGATAACTTTCATTTTTCCCCAAATGTCCTACATAGTTTCCTGAATTTATTAAATATTTCATATGTATTTTTTGAACAAGCAAGAATGACTCAGATGGGAGTTATTCTCTAAATTAATCCATTTTAAAAACTGATTTAATTTTAGATTGAATGACTTGATTTAAAAGAAATATGATTTTCCTTCACATATATTGTGGTTTTGTAATAAACTGTATGTATAAATATTTCAATTTTAAGGCTCTTGCTGAAGAAGCCAGTGAAGATGAACTTCCCTCTGATGTTGATTTGAACGACCCATACTTTGCTGAAGAAGTTAAGAAACTAGGTAAGCCAGCTCATATATGTAGTTTTCAATTGGAATAAAAAGAAAAAAGGTAATATGGGTAGGAAAATACAAACTACTTATTCTTTTGAAATTGTAGAGCTTCTTTAGTGACTTATAAGTAAGTCTGTCCTATGGAATATTATTGTAGAATGGGTCATTTTGTCTGCTGTACATACAAGAAGTAATTTCATTATAGGAAGTATTTGATAACATGAATAATTTATCAGTTTTACTGAAGGTTCCTTTCAAGAAAATATAGACAGGTTGACTATAAAGGTATGGGGGGAAAAGTCATCTTGAGTGTTTTCTTTACTTAACATATCCACTCACGATCTTTTGCAGAGACTATGAAGAATTATGAAATATATGTTTGGTTGTATATTTGTATAATTTTTAATTTTTACATGGTATTGCAGTATAAAAGTTTTTCTACTCAAATATATAAAAGTATCTGAGTCTTGTTTTATCCCTTTTGTATTTATCCTGCTTCAGTTTTTTTTTTCCAAAGATTTATCATGCATGCAAGAACTGGGGTACAGGCCAGAGGTGTGGGGGGGGGGAGGTGAGAGGATTCACCAGAGACAGAGTGGGCAATAGAATAGGCGGATTGACTGAAATACACTGCTGAAGAGAGCAGTGGGCGAGTCAGGAAAGGTCTGCAGAGCCATGTGGGTAGCTCCCTGGTCGGGGATTGAACTCGTGCTGCAGTGGCTGTGGATAGCTTCATAGGTTGCGTCTTAATCCCTTGCGCCACCATGGAGGCTCTATCCTGCTTAAAGCCAACTTCATCCCTTTTTCCCTGAATTCCTACACTATCTGGTATCTGATTTCCCAAATCCAGGGAACCTTGTTTGCATTGCACACGTGCCACTCATTCTTTCCTGACTACTTTCATTGTTATCTTTTTGATACACATACATGTATATGTAAAGTTCAGGCCATGCTTTTTAACAAGTCAATACAGAGGCATTTTGTAAGCATTTTTCATTTGTTCTCATACATTTTACTGTCTCTGATCTGAATACCACACCCTTGAATCCCCAAAACCCTTGTTTCTGGAGCAGCACCAAGCTGGCATTGTAAAGAAAAGGATTTCATGAAGCTTTCCTGCTTCTTGTCCCTCATGACTAATGGACCAGAATAGTTTGTAATAGATAAGTCAGAATTGCTCAAAATTATTTCCTGATAGTTAGGGTCTTTTAATACTGACATTTTATTGATGACAAGGAGATCAAGATGAATAAAGTCTAGAATAGAATGTGAGATTCTTAAGAATTGGAAAAGGAAATGGAAACTTAGAATATTCTGCTTTTTATCATCCCTGAGTGGTCATTTCTTGATGATAGACTTATCCTCTGATTCAGGAAACCAAGTTTGTAGTGGAGAAATATGAAGGATTATAGTTTCCTTCTCATTCCAAAATGCTTCATTTGGCATGTGAAATCTAATCAGATTGCAGAACTTAGGGTAGGACTCAAAGAACAAGTTAAATAGTTTGATAGGTTGGAGAAGCTTGTGTCTTGGAGTTAGCATTTTCAGATCATAAATAAGCTTTTCTAACATTAATATCAAAAGTTCCAAGGGGGAGTATAGATAAAATTTGCTTATTTTCAATGTACTTTTTGATCTACATCTTCAGAATAATTATTTTATATAATTAGACTATTTTGAAAATATGGTTGATGCCTTAAAAGAAATAAGTAGGCTGATATAGACAGCCTAACTGGGAGGAAGAGGAAGCATAGCTTATTTTATATAGGATAGACAAAGAAGGCTTCTCTGAAGTAGTGAATGACATATGAGCTGAGACAGAATGAGGGGGAGTCTGGCATAAAGTGCTGGATTAAAAGCTTTGCAAAGGGGAATGTGGGTAAAAAGGCTGTGAGGTGAGAAAGAATTTGTCATGTAACAGAAATTGAAAGATACCTGGCCAGAGAAGGAATTTGTTATGAGACCAGGCGAGGATACAGGACCAAACATGCAGGGCCTTATCATTTCAAAAAATTCGGTTTTTACTCTACTGTCAATGGGAAGCCACTGAAAGGTCTTAATGTGATGTGATCTGGTATATATTTTTTTTTTTTTTAATTTTTTTTTTTTTTTTTTTATAGAGGCATGTTTTATTTATTTATTATTTGTTTGTTTGTTTTGTTTATACATGCACTGGGTACAGTCAGAAGCGCGGGAGGGTGGTATATATTTTATTAACATATTGCTCTATTTCCTGTGAAGAAAACAGATTGAAGAAAGACACTGGCGAGAACTGGGAGTTCAGGCTTTGGTAGAGATCTGGACAAATAATGATGGTTGACTTTGAGGGCATGCCAATAATGGAACTAGAAGGAGAAAAAGAAATGGGATTCTGGATATATTGTGAAGGTGGACTAGCTGGTTTATTTGGATAAGGAAAAAATTTAACCTAACTCCTAGATTGGTTTGGGTCTCTAAAAGAATGCTTTTCCGTTTAATGAGTTTAGAAAATAGGTTTAGGTGAGAAATAAAGTCTGTAGGTCTATTTGTGTGTAATCTCCTTGAGATGTCAGTTAGCTATCCAAATGGAGGTATAAAGTTGACATAAATGTGAGTCTGGAAGATCAACTTAAAAGTCAAAGTGCAAAAGCATATAAACTGTGGGACTAGAGGTAAAAAGTACTGATAAGAGAGGGGGATGTGATTGTACTATGAGGTTGAATAAAGCCTCCAGTCATACTTGAGGAGGTACTACAGGCCCACCTCGGAAATATTGTAAATTTTCTTTACTGGCCATGCAATAAAGCTGGCAATAGGAATTTTTTGGTGCATATAAAAGTTATGTTTATACTATACTGTAGTCTATTAAGTGTGCAGTAGCATTATGTTTAGAAAAACAGTGTACATACTTTAATAAAATTTGACAGAGATAAGTGAACACATGCTTTTGGAAAATGGTGCCAATAGACTTGTTTGACATGAGGTTGCCACAAACCTTCAATTTGTAAGTATCTGCAAAGTACAGTAAAGTGAAGCACAATAAATGAGGTATGCCTGTACTTGGAAAGTAGGGGGGAAAGCTTAAACTGAGAAGGAACAGCTGCGAATAGGAAGAAAAGCACTGGTGTCTGGACAGGTGTGTAGTTTAAGTCTCAGGGTTGAACAGGACAGAAGCCTTTTAAGCCAGATAGATTTGGATACATGTATCCACCTTTCCCTTGGGCAGTCCCATATTGCTTTTCAAAATACGAAGAAGTTCACCTTATTGATTGATGCCAGGTCCAGTGTTTAGCACAGGTCAGGAGCCAATATAAGTACTAGAAATATTTTCTAATTTTTCCTTCCTTTACACTGTAAACTTGCTATAATTTTTCTGTTTTTCTCTAAATGACAAACTTGAAGCTTCAAGAAAATAATGTCCTTCTGAAATTATTTTTTATGCAATATTTGTTTATTACTGTCTAATTACATAACCTCTTTAATAAGATTTTATTTTTGAGAAAATAAAATGAAGTATATCACATGTAAATGTACCCTATTAAAATGTATTCATTTTTTTGATAACTTTGGATATTTGGTACATTTTCATGAAAATCTAATAATGTACATAGATTTGATTCATTCAACCACTTTGTTGAGTGAGATATACTGCTTGTATGTTTTTATAATTTACAAATAATTTCCTTTGCATTCTATCTCTAATCAAAACGTCAGCTCATTTTATAGATGAGTAAACTAAAACTAAATGAACATAGTTGAAATGCACAAAATTCAGTGGCAGATGAACCCTATTGGTCCCCTTCATTTTTTTTTTTTTTTTAAGATTTATTATTTATTTATTCAATACCTGGGGTACAGGCCAGAGGCCTGAGAGGATTCACCAGAGACAGAGCGGGGAGCAGAAAAGGCAGATGGACCGAAAGAATGCTGAGGGGAGCAGCGGTTGAAACAGGAGAGGTCTGCCGCACCATGTGGGAATCTCCCTGGCCGGCTGGGAATGGGACCCGCGCTGCAGAGGCTGGGAACAGCTTCACAGCACTGTGCTCAACGCGCTACGCCACTGGGGAGGCCTTCTTCATTTTTTTTAAAGATTTATTTTTATTTATTTATGCATACAAGAACTGGGGTATAGGTCAGAGGTACGGAGCTATGAGAGGATTCACCAGAGACTGAGTGGGGAGCAGAACAAGCAGATCCACTGAAATGCACTGCTGAGGGGAGCAGCAGGTAGACTGCAGAGGTCTGCTGCGTCATGTGGGTCAGATCTGCCATGTGGTTCAGCTCTGGGGCCAGGGACTTAACTCATGCTGCAGTGTCTGGTGATAGCTCAATAGCGCTGAGACTTCATCCCCTGCGCCACCAGGCAGGCCTGGCCCCCTTCATTTTTGTAACTCTGTAAGCACATTGTGAAGACCAAAGCCCAAGCCAGGACCTATAAGAGCTAGAGATGGCTAGATTTCCTAGCAAAGACACAGTGTCTAGAGGAAGATTAATAGACTGCGTCTTATTATGGGCATTGATCTTGGATGTAGAAACTTGCTGCAAAATCGTGAATCACGGGCCTCCCTGGTGGCGCAAGGGGTTAAGGTGCAACCTATGAGGCAATCCGCAGACTCTGCAGCACAAGTTCTATTCCACATGGCACAGCAGACCTCTGCTGACTCACCCGCTGCTACCCTCAGCAGTGTATTTCAGTCTATCTGCTTGTTTTGCTCCCCACTCTGTCTCTGGTGAATCCTCTCACTCCCCACACCTCTGGCCTGTACCACAGTTCTTGTATGTATAAATAAGTAAATCTTTAAAAAAAAAAAAATTAGTGAATCACTAGGAGCCCTGGTCTACACTCCAATGAATTCCCTTAACTACTCTTTCAAAAGAAATGTTCAACTAAGCCCTCTGAAGCTACTTTTTTAGTTTTTTTATGGGAACAGTTCTCTGGCATTGTAAGTAATGGAAAATGGAATTTCCTTTAATAATCCTTTTGCAAATCATTTTTTTGCAGTTTATCTTTTTCCATAAATGTATTCTGTTACATATTTTCCTTAAAGAGAGAGTATTCTCAGTAAGCATTGTTAACTATAAAATTCTGACTTCAAATTTCTAGTCTCTAAGTATTCAACTTGTTAGAGTCAATCCATATGTATTTTTTGCAGCAATTCCAGGAGATCAAGATGTGGTTTTTTACTTGAGAAAAGAGTCACTGAAAAATAAAGATAACATTTCAGAATAGACACTTTCATTTCCCTCGTACTCATCATACTAATATTAGGTATCAGTTTTAGCTCTGACCATCTTGAAGATTCTTTTTTCCTCCCTTGTTGCAACTTTCCTTTCAAGTTTATTTTTATGACTTTTCACCAGGTTGTTATAAAATCCAGATTAGTTCATTGTGGGCTCTTTGAAATTATTTCCCACAGCTGTATGTGAAGATCTTTATTTCCTTTGTGTTATAATCATATACAGCCTGATTTTTTTTTTTTTTCCGCTGCCATGAATGATCTCCTACATATGTCACTTGTCCATTCACTTAAAAAGGGGCTCTTACCTTGACAACATAATAGCAGAAGCAAATTTAGGTGTAGGGCACAAGTGGAATCTTGATGATACTTATATGTATAAATACATTCATATACTTTAATACAGAGAAAATATTATTTAACATGGATACATCATTCCCTGAGTAACAGTTGAGATAGGAGCAGTAATCATTTTCACTTTAGGGAGGACTGCATGCAATAATATTTCTGCTTGGAAATACAGACAGATGCTTTGGTAGCACAGGTGGGTTTTGTAGTTGAGATGTTTTTATAAGAAAAGCGTTTATATATTCAAATCACTTAGGTTTTGTTGTGATTTGTTTCTATGTTAGGAAAGTATTTCTTCTATTTTAAGTTCAGGTAAAAAGTCTCTTGTATTTTCTCATAGGATCTGTTTATTTTAATGTCTAACTCTTTACCTGTATTTTATTTTTACTGTATTTCATGAGGCAAGACTAATTTCTTTTTCAGGTTTTGTTTTGTTTTTCAGAATAGAGCAAATTGCCCAGCACCAGTCTTTGAACAATACTTCTGCCCCCCCAATTTGTTTATAATGCTATATTTTATTATATACTAAACATTCTAATCTGTTCTTCTTGTTTTATACACTGTATTTTGTTTTACTTTGCATAGTACATTTTAGTACACCAATATCACTCATATCAAATCTATTTTATTAATCAAGATTCTTTAAGTAGAATCTCACTAAGAATTTTATTAAATGTATATGTTTATCATGATTGGATATTGAATTTTAGCAAATGTTTATTCAATGTTTATTGAAATGATTTTACATTTTTCCTTTTTTAGTTGATATGCAATTATACTTTGAGAAGAAATTCCTTCTTTATAATATTTAGTCAGTTCATCCAAAAGTAATGAATTTTTATATTCATAGCTATAGTCATCTATCAGTAATTTTTTTACATTAAATTTCTGTACATTTATTGCAAGATTATTCCTAGTTATCTTGTATTTTTGTTTCTAGTATAAAAAGATTGTTGCTGATAGTCTTTTAAATTTTACCCCACCTCTGTTGGCTTGTTATGTCAGGCATAAAGAAAAAATCGATGAAATCTGCAAAAGATGGCGCAGCTCCAGAAGAAGAAAGTGAAATAGAAAGACAAAAGGTAAAACTTGATTACTGTTACATACCTCATGAATAATATGTACAGTTTATTATTTTTTTATTTATTTTTCCCCTATTATATTTATTTCACCCCTGCTTCAGGGGTTATAGGTTCAAACTTCTACAAATGAATATTTTCATACCCTGCCCACCACTAGCGCCCAGACAATCCTCTGCATGTTTCATTGGTCCCCTTCTCTCCCACCACCATTGTCCTCTGGTTACCTCCATTTTGCAATCAGATGTTAAGAGTTTATTACTGGTTTGGTTTGACTGAACCTTTGTTGTGTTTCTCAATATTCCACATATAAATGAGACCATCCAGTATTTGTCTTTCTCCTTCTCACTTTTTTCACTTAGAATTATACATCCATGTTGTGGCAAACAACAAGAGTGCACTCTTTCTTATAGCTGAGTAGTATTCCATTACACACACACAAATACACACACACTTTTCTGATATTCTTCTCTGACCTTGGGTATTTGGGCTGTTTCCATAACACAGCTATTATAAATAGGGGTGCAATCAATATAGGAGTACATATATCCCTTCAAATTCATGTTTTTATATTCTTTGATTCCATATCTGGGAGCGGAATTGCTGGGTCACATGGGAGATCCATTTGTAATATTTTGACAGACCTCCATGCTATTCCTCATAGGGCTGGACCAGTTTACCCTCCCACCAAGGAGGGACAAGGGTTCCTTTTTCTCCACATCCTCACCAACACTTGTTTCTGATCTTAGTGATATAGGAATATGTACAATTTAAATACAGTTGTTCATGTGGGTAGTCCCTAATTTAAAAAATAATCATAACTGATCTTAGCAATGAAATTTATAAATAAGTTTAATAAAATGCATATTAAATATTTTATCAGTGTGGTATTCAAATAGATTTTTACTAAACATTTCTCCAACTGATGGAAAGTTAAAATTTACCTTAAGCCCAAGGCTTAACAGTAAGTGTCTTACTATGTGAAACTCTTACTATAATTGAGACATAATATTACTATTAAAACAAAAATCATATAACCATAAATTTTAATTCAATAATACTTTGTTTTGTAATGCAGACTTTGCTTTTATGACTTATCAAATACTAATTCCCCTCCATTTTTATTACAAACGGAAATTTAAAGGACAAAATTAAACCCTGTCTTGGCAGTGCAGTGAACTTTATGCATCAGTGATGCCAAAGATCCACAGCACATAATAACATGTATTTTTGCTGAAGTAGGAATTGGAGGCAACAATTTCACTATCACTGACATGGTCACCTAAATTATACTTTTTAATGCATCTTTTCTAATTCTCCATTTATTGTAAATACGGTAGTGCTCATAGAGTTAAAGAGCACAAAGAAATCTTTCTTTAAAAAGAAAGCTAACTGCAGGTGCCAGTGATAGACGTGAAAGGAAAATAAAGCGGTGTAAGGTGCTAATAGAGGAAGATATGCAAAAGTCTGGCAGCATACTCTTAATTTTTCTAGTAAACATGGTTGTTTAATCTAGAGGGTTCCAGAGGGTGCTCCCGAGATTTTCAAAGACTTACCATGGTCAGTGGAAAATATGTATTTAGTGGATACTTGTGGGTTCCTACGAGCTGGCCACTCATGGGCAAATGTGACCTATTTGCTCTCCACGAATTACAGCAGAGCATTCCTTGACTACCTGTGGAGTAAAGCCCTGTATCATGAGGCAGGCCCTGGAATGCCTAGGCTGCTGTTGACCTGATTACATAACTCAGCTCTCTCCATGGTGGTCTTCGGGTAACTGCCTGTGATAACATCAGCACATATACTTTGCTGATGCAAATGTCTCTTGATGTATGGTCACGATGTCCCCTTTACTGTTCCTCATAAAACTTTGTCCCCCATTCCAACCCCACCTTTATACCATTGTCGCATGATCACCTTTTACTAGCTTGTATGCTTTCATTAAATGGCACAAGAACTTCTACTCAAGTAGCAGAGTCTTACCTTGCAAACCTGCTCAACAACTGTTGTGTCCCCCGCCGTTGTGTCCCTTATCACATTCCTGCGCAAAGCGGCAACAAAGCTCCTGTTGCACCAGATACTGACATTACTTTAGATTTAAAAAACACATGTTAGCATCCAGCCTTGATGTAAATGTTTTAATACAGAAAAAGTAAAAGCAAAAATAAAAGAAAAAAGAAATTTCTTGTTATTAAAATTTATATTTGCAAAGTTTAATTTGTATCACAATATACTACACATTTGCTAGATTTTGCATCATTGCTTGAAAAAAACAAATGAAAATGGAGAATTTTTATTTGGAAGACTTGGGGACACATGTTTCTACATCCTACTGGCCGGTTACCCATAGTAAAATATGATCTGATTTTTTTTTTTTTTTTTTTTCAGTACAAACTTTAACCACTATTCTGCTCTTAGTCATGTTGCTTCTAAAAATTTTGCCTTAGTGTTCTACAAAGAACTCTTTGTGAGTTTTGGTAATCCACAATCAGTTTGCAGATGACAGATGTCATCCTGGAGCAGTAGTGACTGAGTTTTCTTTTCCTAGAGGGGATATCTGCCCCCACTACTGTTCTGGGGGTAAAAACATTGATGTTGTAAGTTTGAACTTTTTTATTTAAAACTTATAGGCTGAAATGGCTTTGCTTGTGATGGATGAGGAGGAGGAGAGCAAGAAGCACTTCAATTATAACAAAATTGTGGAGCACCAGAATCTGAGCAAAAAGAAGAAAAAACAACTTATGAAAAAGAAAGAATTATTAGAGGATGACTTTGAGGTAACCAGAGATAAAACTTATTAGCCTGTTAAAACTGGAATTGAACCAAAAGTCAGCTTTTTTTTAATGTTAGAATCGCATGCATTGTGATACTCATACTAGGAAACATATACATAAGTCTAAATAAGAAACAACAGGTTCACATAATACCATACTACACTCACTGCATACAATGGTCATTGCAGTAGACTATGCTTTTTTAATTGCTAATTCCTATTACCATTGCGCCTTCTTTTCCCTAATTTTGCTAAATACACATTCCCAATATCCATACAATCGCTGTGCATGAGTTTGGGTCCTCTACAGAGAACACAACAGCTGTCAGAAACTACTTAATGATTTCCAAGTGCTAACATGGAAGAACAAGGGGAAATTTTTAAATTTATTCAAAGAATGGAGAAAGCATACAGATTAACATCCAAGTAGCATATAGAGGGCTTTTGAGAACACGCTGTAACTCCAGTTTATGTAAGTCAGTTCCATGTATTCCGGTCTTCCACTGAACTTTTCAGTGAATTGGTTGTTTCATGGAAAGTTAAAAGCAAAGAATGATATATAGAAAAATCTGCTATTATGAGAACTATCTTCACACCTTAGTAATTATGAGCAAAACCATTTTTCATGGGTGTTTGGTGGTAGTATCACATCATTACTATAAGTAGCACTAGTCCATCTACAGATGAACTCATCTTTTCCGTCGGAATGATGGATGGCAGTGAGTTGTGCTACCTTTCTTACTGGTCACCTCTGTGCCTGTCAACACTTAAAAACTCAACTGGAGTTAAGGGTACACTCTTAAATGTAAATTTTGTGCTTTTATAAAAAGATAAGAAGATAAATTTGGGACTTGTAGCTGACCTGATCTTGGTCTCAAGGGTGCTCTCTTTCTCATAGTGGTCTTTAAATCTTTTGCTCAGTGGCCACTAATTTTAAAGTTTTTTTTGGTTTTTTTTTTGATGTACTCAAAATGCAGAAACAACACATAAAACTCCAGTAGGAGATACTATCACTGGCTTAATTTTCCCAGCCAGAAATAGTTTTAACATTGGAAGCCTGGGGAAACCTTCTACAGTGGCTTAAGTGACCAGATCACTCTATATACACATTATAGGCATTCCTTAAAACCTTCACGATAAGAATAAATATGTTCTGTGCATTGTGGTTCAAGCCTTAAAAGTCCATTGAAGATCTGTGGGAAAACAGGGAATCAATCCAAAATGCACCCATTTGTATTTTATATAATCAATAACTTGCTGATTTAATTTTTTTAATTCATGTTTTCCTTTTGGACTTGTAGGTAAATGTTACAGATGCACGGTTTCAGGCAATGTATACATCCCACTTATTCAATTTGGATCCTTCAGATCCTAGTTTCAAGAAAACAAAAGCTATGGAAAAAATCCTTGAGGAGAAAGCCCGGCAGAGAGAACAAAAAGAACAAGAACGTACTCAGGCAATAAAGAAAAAAGAGAGTGAAATTCAAAAAGAATCACAAAAGAGGTCCATTGATCCTGCCTTGTCAGTGTTGATTAAATCTATAAAGAACAAAACAGAGCAGTTTCAAGCAAGAAAGAAACAAAAAGTCAAATAGCTTAACTGTATGATTTTTCTTTTTGGATTGAGAATATGATCTCCTAAAGTATACAGAATGGTTAAAGGATTATTTTGGGGGAACAAAGAATAGAATAAAATCTTAGTATGATCATTTTAGAATTTCTCTCTATAAGTAATGGTTGGACTTAATTGTGTGTGTCTGACAGATTTTTACTGTATATTTCCAGTGATTAATAATAATTTAAGAATTACCCAAAATATAGGATTTATCAAATTTTTGTTCTATAAAATTCAGTTCATCCTTAAAAAAAAAAGTTAGCTTTTTTAATGACTGTTTGAAATTGTAAAGAATAGAACAGTGCCCTATTACTCAATCTTAAGTCTGAATAAGAGGAACAATTTGAAAATATGTGTGTGCAATACATTAAAATTTCTCTGGAAGCAGGAGGCAGGTTTAGATTTCTATTAGGATATTTATTTTTCTAGCCATAATGGATAGGAATCAGTAACTTTCTTTGTTGTTTGGTCATGTTAATCATAGTTAGCCCATAAGATTATTTGCAAATAAAAGTATGAAATATTTTTATTGTTTATAGGACTGATTTATTTCATATATTTATTTCAAATGCCCTCTGGAACAATATCTGAAAAACTGACTCTTTAAGATTACAAGTCCATGAAGAGGCAGTTCAAGATTTGCATTGCTCATAATTATATTTGAATTGTTTATGAGCACTGCAATGAATTCTGTTTGTAGTAACAGAAAATTTCTTCTGCCCTTCACATTTTTGGAATGCTTGAAAGGGTAATATGCTGTTACAGAGTTTTAAAAAATCTTAATTCTTTTAAAAATTAAATTAAAACATATTTTCAATGCCTTAATATTCCTAGATCTCATCTGATCTAGATTATCTAAGTTTTAGACAATAAACTATTTAGTATATAAGTAAATTAAAATAAAAGCCAAAATGGCCACTTGGACAAATGATAAATATGGTAGTTTTTGAGAAGTAGTAGGAATTTGGCCAGGTTTCTGGTTAATAGTAAATTTGACATTTTTGGTATTAAAAATTCAGACCTAGCAATGTAGTATATTTTTTCTAGAATAAAATGTTGTAAGACTCACAGTGATATTAATACAGTAAATATATGGATATACAAATAGTCTCTGAAAAGGAAAGGAAAAAAACTATATTGTTCATTGTAACAGAAAAATGCAAGGAATTGTGCTTTTATCATAAAACACTGACAGGTTATTAAGTAAAATAAAGCATTGTTCCTACTGATCCCTGTATTTAGCTATCATCAATGAAACATCGTCAATCTTAATATGCTTATTAGTATAATCTTAATATGCTTATTAGTAGTTGTATAATTAATTTCATTTGTGCCTGGAAAAAGATTTGTTTCTTTTAAACTTTAAATTACAACTTAAGGTTTACCCAAAATTTGATTTTAAGGTTCCTGGTTTTTTGGTTTTTAATTGGTTTGTTTTTTTATTTTTGAGTCCTTTGTTAAGTCAGTGCATTTAATTGTAAATCTCATTTTACTAGTCCAAGTTAGGTACATCCTTGGCTGTTTTTCTCAAAAGATTTTATATTTTTTAGGTAGAAAAAAGTGAGACTAGCATTATCATATCCTGCCTATAATAAACATCTTACACCAAGAATGTTAGATTCCCAAAAAATAGAAGATTAAAATGTGAGAATATTTCAGGTATTCTTAAGGTCGTATTTATTTAAATTATTGTGGTTATTACCAAGACCATAGAGAGTAAGACAGTATTGTCACATCTAGAAAAAAGCTGTGACTCAATACCAGTGAAGCTCTAATTTCTCAGACATTTGTCAAAAGTCTTGGGGACCAGCTTGGTACCCACTGTCAATACTACTTTCTGAAGGGAATTTGTTAGACACATGAGCAGAAGAGTCATGACTGTGCTCTATATTGTCTATGGAGTAGGCCAATATTAGGTAACATGCTGGTTTTTCTGCTCATTAGTATCACTTAGGGTGTCGTAAAAATTTCTGTGGTCAGACAGTCTCCTAGCCCTATTAAATTAGATGTGTGGAGTAGGATCCAGGCATGATTATTTTATAAAGCTTGCCAGGTTACTCCAATGTGCAGCTAAGGTTGAGGTCCACTACTTTAGAAGGAAAAAGACCCAACTAATTTGGTTTTTGGTCTGCAGATTAGAGATTAGAATAAACTCGTTATCAACACTCTTAGCTCTTGCTGCTAAAAAGCGCATCCAAACATAGTGACTTGAAACAGCAAACATTTATCAGTATTTCCTAGGAATCTGTGGGTTGACTGGGCAAATGTAGGCCAGTTGAACTGCTGAGATGGAACCTTTGGGGAATCCATATATCCAGGGCCTCAGCTGATATGACTGGAGCAATAGGGGATCACTTCTCCAGTAGGTTCATACAGACTTCTTCACATGGTAGCAGAGGGTTCCCAGCTCCAGAGTAAGTGCGAATGTACAAGTGCTTTCCAAATCTGATAGTATCACATTTGCTATTTTCCCATTTGCAAATCACACAGACAAAACAAAATCAACAGGTGGAAAAGACACAGGCAAAGAGACATGAATAAAATTGAGACATTATTAAAAGAATCTACACCTTAGTTAGGTTTCCTTTTCTGGAGAAAGTAGCTTTCCCATTGGTTGATACAAAGTTTTTCCAGTTTTTGACTATTGAGAAGCTGTTATTCATGTATAGGTGTTTGTGTAAAATAGTTTTTTGCATTTCTCTGTCAAATACCTAGGAGTGGAATCCTGTGACTCATGGTAATTCCATGTTTATAATAAACTGCAAAAAGTTCTTTGCCATAGTTCTATTATTTTGTATTCCACCCCCCGCCCAAGAAATATGTGAGTTCCAGTTCTGCATCTTCACCAGTATTTGATAGTCATTTTTGTGTGTTTATTTTAGTTTTTGCCATTCTAATAATGTGTACTGGGATCTCGTAGTTTTAATTTGCGTTTCCCTAATGACTAATAGTGGTAATCTTCATGTGCTTTTTACCATCCATCTATCATCTTTGGTGAAAGAGCTACACTGTTTGCCCTTTTTTTTTTTTTTAACTAATTTACTTATTTTTCTTGTGTTGAATTTTAAGAACTCTTTATACCTCTGGATACAAATACTTTGTCATATATGTGAGTTGCAAGTATTTTCTTCTAACCTGTGAGCCTTGTCTTCATTTTTTTAAGAATCTTTCATAGAACAAATTTTTTATTAAGTCTAGTTTATCCATTTTTTATTTACGGATTGTCTTGCTATAAAGCTAAGAACTTTTTGACTAGGTTTATTGATTTTTTTTTCCTGTTTACTACTAAAAGTCTTTCAGTCTTATGTTTTACATTTTAGACTCATACTGCATTTTGAAGTAATTTTTGTACAAGGTGTGAAGTTTCAGTTGATACTAATTTTTTTCACATATAGCTGTCCAACTGCGCCAGCAGAGAAACTGGACCACTAAGGGAAATATGTGCACTGTTACTGCCACTCTCAAAGACAAAAGCTTGGCAATTTCTTAAAATAAGCCATAAGATTCAAGAATTTCAATCTTGAGCATTTATTCCAAAGTAGAAATTATATTCATACAAAAACTTGTACATGAATCCTATAGAAGATTTATTTATTTTTGCATACAAGAGCTAGAGTACAGGCCAGAGATGTGGGGGGTGAGAGGATTCACCAGAGACAGAGTGGGGAACAGAACAGGCAGACTGATTGAAATACACTACTGATGGGAGCAGCGGGCGAGTCAGGAGAGGTCTGCTGCACCATGTGGGTTGTTCCCTGACTGGCCAGGGCTTGAACTCGTGCTGCAGAGACTGCGGATTGCCTCAAAGTGTGGTGCTTAATCCCTTGCGCCACCAGGGAGGTCCCAGATTTATTTATAATAACCAAAGACTGAAAATAACCCAGATGTCTTCAATGGATTAAACAAAACTCTTCAGTGATTAAAACTCCATACCATGGAGTACTTACAAGCAATAAAAAGGACTGAAGTACTTCATATATGAAACAACTAGGATAAATCTCCAGAAAATAATGCTGATTGAAAAAAAAAAAAAGACTCCTTCAGGGTTACATACCATATAATTACATATATGTAACATTCTTGAATTAGAAAAATTATGAAAATGGAGGGCTGATTAGTGGTTGCTAGAAGTTAAGGGGGAGGATTAGTATAAAAGGAAGTGAATGTGGTTTCGAAAGGGCAAAACGAAGGATCCTTATGGTGCTGGAAATGTTCTGGATCATAACTGGTTATATATAGATGCAGCTATGCTTCTGATAAAAGTCCGTTAATACAATCACATTGATTGAAATGCTGAAACAATCATTCTTGGAATAAAGTCCACTTGTATTATCCTTTTTATAGTTTATCTTGATTTGCTAATATTTTGTTGCTAATTTTTTAGGCAATGTTTGTGGATATTCAGTAGTTTTGTAATTGTTTGGGTATCAAGGTAAACCTAACCTTATAAAATTAAGTGTTCCTCTTTTATTTTCTGGATAATACTTATATAATTGGTGTTATTTCTTCCTTAAATGTTTGCTAGAATTTACCATAAGCCTTCTGGACCTGAGGTTTTCTTTGTAGGAAAGTATTAAACTACAAGGTCAATTTCTTTGTATACATGGAACTATTCAGGTTATTTATTTCTTAAGTGAATTTTAGTAGTTTGTGTCCCTTATGGAATTAATCTTTGTCATGTAGCTAAGGCAAATTTTTTAAGTCTGAAGACTCAGGGTGCCCTCTTTTTTCATTGCTAGTATTGGTGATCTTTGTTTGCCGTTTATTTTTTGTGAATCTGAGTAGAGATCAATTTTCTTGACCTTTCCTATGAACCAGCTTTTGATTTCATTCTTTTTTCTCCATAACTTTTCCAGTTCAGCTCATTTTGGTAATATTCCCCCAACTCTCCAGAAACCAGATTCCAAGCTTATTTTGTTAGTGATACAACTCAGTAAACCACCAGCCAGCAGACTGCTTCCTCTCTGGTAAGGTCTAGATCTCAGTCCTGAGAGAGAGGCTCTTCCAGATTTGCTCCTTATTATAGTACTCTGCCTCAGCAACTAAAGTTAATGACTGTACCATATATTCATGATTTCTGTATTGTTTTAGAGTTCTTTTTCCTTAACTGTTATTTATCAGTCCTGTTATTCTTAAGACATTGTTACAATGATTGATTAAAATTTTCTTGTTTAAGTTACTGTTTCTTTTTCCTGATTGGATCCTGACTGACATCCAAGGATACAAAGATAATCTACTCACCTGAATCATATTGAATCCTGAAAGATCCTCCTAGTTATAAACATTATATTCTCCTGCATTGCCCTTTCTGATCATGAAGGTTTTCTTGAGTCCTGACCATCCAGATTATCCATTACTTTATAACAAACCACCCCAATATTTTGCAGGTTAAAATAACCACAATTATTTATTTTTTCAAAATAATTCACAGGACTCAGTGGTTAGGGCTATTACCTTCTCCATATGGGTATCACTTGTGGGTAGCTGCTGAATATTGGAGGCTTTGCTTCCACAATTATAGTTTCACCTAGTTTGAAAGCTAATGTTAGCTATTGACTGGGATCATGTTGGATGGGTCCCAAAGGTGAGGCATTTGGAAACTCTAACAATTATTTGATCTACACTCAGATGTCAGAGTGTCATTTCTGCCATCCATGCAAATATAGTAAATGTGCCATCATTTTGAGGTCACCTGAATGAGGCTTTATTCTTTGCATCTGAAGAGTATTAGTAGCCCCAGGTCAGCAGAGACTACCGGGTCTGCCAGTATTTGGACCTAGTAAATAGGGTCATTAAGCAGGTTAGACAAGAAGAAAAGTTATGTATACTCCTTAAGAAACTTTGAGTGTGACCAATGTAGTTAATAACCATGGACTTTGCATAATTCCTATTTTACTCCTTTACAGTCTGATGTGGAAGCTAATGATAGCTTCTAGGTACCTTGCTTTGAAATCCAGATCAGACTGAAATCTTTGTTTCTTCCCTTCTTTCACATTCCTGCCTGGAATGTAGATGTATTGGCTAAGACTTCAACAGCTATCTTGGATCAAGGGCAGAACCACAAATTATTATCTAAGGATAACATTATAAGCTGGGGGAAGTCAGGATCCTTCAGGACATTGTAGTCATAGGCACCATGTTTAAGCCGCTATTTTCCTTCCCTACATCTCAATTAATACCAAGACAAATATGGTGGTATTGGAATATAGAGCACATGGACTATTTTGGAGATGATTGCAGATGATATCTCCATAAAGAAACTCTTGATATTATTACATTATGGCTGGAATGCTTGCAACTTGCCAGTGCCAGAATAGGATGCTCAGTAATGTCAGATTTCTGGATATGCACATGAGTCAAGAGAAATGAATCAAACCCTCTTAGAAGACAACTGGAACTCTTCTAAAATCCCTGCTAACATTAGAGTTAAAAACTATATGCAGCACCCCTATTATTACTTATTATCACTTCCTCAAAAAGTTTAGGAAGAAGAGTTGCCAATGCAAGCCAAAATCAGGCATATGGGAACATGGAAATGCATATATGAGAGCCTGTGCTCAGCCGTAGTATGGGTTCTGCATTACCCAAATTTTGCCAAGATGTGGAGATGAAAACTCCATGCTGTATGACAGTGCCAAAGCAAACAGTCTAATAAATCACTTTATATTAAGGAAAGTTGTGAGAAATGCCAGCTGTTTTCGTGAACTTTTTAAAATTAAAATTGAGTTGTTAGCCTTCATCATTACACATGCTTTTGTCTTGAGTATCCTGTCATGAATTTTTTTCACACCTTTTACTAAGACCTGAAATTAATTAGCAGTGTCTTTATTCTTAGACCAGTAAGAAATACTAAACCCTTTCCTGTTTCAAAAAGTGTCTCTAATGAGAAGGGCAGGAAATGGCCTATAAAATTTACTAAAATTTGTTTTTAATTTTTTGGACAAATTATCAAAGTAAGAATTAGTTAGGAAATATCTTTAAATTAGAAGTGGAACAACTTAAATATTTTTAAATTAGAAGGGGAACAACAGATGAGTTTAACCTGACAGCAGCTCATCATTTGACTAAAGAAAAACTCTGAAAGCAATTTGATTTACATATGTTCCTCCACTTGGTTCCATTGTCTATACCTGTTCTTGGAAAAATTTGGACTTCTTATGGGGAGCCCACACAGTCTCAGGGAACACACAGGGGAACAGTGTTTCTTCAGATTTCTCCAGCTCCAAGTGGACCTCAATTCCCCTATCCATTCCCTTAGAAATGTTGCAAGTAGCACAAACCAACGCAAACTAACTTAAGCAAAAATTTAAAAAGACGTGATAGTGGATATTTATTTTAAGGGCCCTGTGGAATTCCACAGCACAGAATCCAAAGGCAGGAAACCAAGTAGTTCTCAGGAAGAGACTGGGAGCAGGAACTAGAATGTCCTCAGAAACTCTCTCGCAGTCCTGTTTTCTTTTATTCATTTTGTTTTACTCATTGCTGCCAATATGAGTAAATCTCTCTCCTTAGACCACTGGGCCAGTTGAATAAGATGACCACATCAGAGTTTCCACATTTTAAGTTACAGACCCATTTTTAATATATTTCCTAGAAAAAAAGGAAAGTTTTGACTTAAGTTTAAAAGAATCAGAAATGAATTTTGAAATTTTCATCATGATTAACCATTTTCTAATTAACCATTTTCTAAGCATTTATGTGGTCATATACAATATTAAGAATGGCTTGGTTAATTTACTTTTGAATATTAAATATAATCTAAAAAACAATTTTACACTATCATGGTATAATCTAAAAGATATTCCAAACATTTAAAACAACTGAATTACAAAGGATTCTTAGTGTCCATAGAGAGGTAAAATAATAAATTTATTGACAAGAAACGAATTTTATCTTCTTCAAGTGAAAGATGACCTTATTGTTAAAAACCTGGAAAAATGCATTAACTTGGAAATTTTTTCTTTAAACTTTGTCTTGATGACAATCTATAAAGCTCTTAACAGATATTAACATCCTTATAAAAAAAACTCCTACATCTGATCTTCCTTTTCCCTGAACTAAGAGGAACTTAGACTGTCTGGCAATGTGCATGCGACGCTGGTAACAGGGATTGCCTTTAGGGAACGGCAGAAAAAGGAAACCTACTTCTTGAAACACCTTTGTATTTGGCTTTGTTTTAGTGTACCCACTTAAAAATTCTTTTAAAATCTCATTTCTAGTAAAGAGACATATAATAATGATTCTGATCTGAAGCGTTTTATTATAAAGGGCATTATTGGGACAGCGGTAGAAATTGAATGGCCTGAAGATTAACTGATAGTGATGTAACAGTGTAAAGTTCCTGATTTTGATGACTGAATTTCAATAGGCTGAATGTTTATTTGAAGGTAATAAATGCTGAATGGTTTAAGGGTGATGAGGCATCATGTTATCAGCTCGGTCTCATCTGACTGGAGACCAAATATCTTTGTAATATCTTGCAACTCTTTAAGTTTGAGATTGTTAACATTTTTTTAAATGTTTTAAAATTATTTTATTACTAGTGCAAGCTCTAAATTTTCAGAAAGACAATATGATTGATGAAAGTTAAGATCCAAATTGTGTCCCTTGTTCACCATCAGCTATGGTTAATGGGAGCCAGTGAAGCTTCCAAAAGTTTGACAAAATAGGAGTTTGATCATGCCAACAATCAGCTCTAGGATCCAAGACAAGTCACAGACATCCCTTCAGATGTCTGTCAAGTCATCTGACTTCAAACCCCAGCTCTTCTACTTACTACATCTAAGTGAGCTGGTCCATTGACTTCATCTCTTCAGACCTAATTTTTCACCTTTAAATATAGTATTGCCAATAATATCTTGATTTTAAGGATTGAAAGAAATACCATTCAAAAAACCCTTTGATCATTGCCTAATACATAGTAAATTCAGGAAGCCTTAACTTCTTCATGTTATTCATAACATTTCAGAAGTAATCCCTCCCCAACGACTTTTCATTTTGATAGAGTTTGGCAAATCCTTTCTGGGAGTTGCTGTTGACGGAGGACATGGTTTTGCTGTTGGCCATTTTTCTGGAGATAATTTATATTAATATAAATGTAAAACTCTTGGTCAAACTCACTTAAGAGTCTAACTTAGTAATGTTAAATGAGATAGACTCAAAGAGAAGTTTTATTTATATTTTAGATGTAAACAATAATGTAGACTGCATAATGGCCAAGGTCTTTATCACTGTAGAAAAGAATACTTTGAAATTGTGTCAAAAGTAGATTTCCCCCCACTTAGTATCCATAATTTGGAGAGATTTTGGCCCCAGAAAGACAGATTGCCATAGCTGCTCAAAGGCTTTCTGTGACTGACTGTTCTGAGATCGGTCTTTTCACTTTGATTGCCTTGAGAGACTCTGCTGCCCTTCTTTTGTCATTAGATTATACTAATTTCTTCTATCAGAGGTAAGCCTCATTTCTAAGGTTCATGGGTTGTAAATATTAGTAGGATGATACACAGCTCATAGATTCAAATTAAAAATGAAACAACTTGCCAAATGACAGAATCCAGGTATTTTTAGTCACCTGGTTCATCAATACCTTCTTCTGAGGATTCCACTCCTACTTGTCTTAGAAACAACTATCTTTCAAATTAGCAACACTATTCAACTCTGTTTCCTGGGATGGGAAGTGATTGGTCCAGCTTGTCAGTGAATCCATTTAGTCCATTCCCTTGGATTCTTGGGTCCTTCATTTGCTGAAATAGCAGGCAGAGTGAGTGGAATTGAGTTTATTTCCAGAGGAAGAAGACAGAAAGACAGAGAAGACCAACCCAATCGCAACTGACTTCCCTTTTTCTATCTTTGTCCCTAACTTGGTTTTTCTAGGCATATGTGGTTAGCAAAACCAAATGAAAAAAGAGAAAGATCTTCTCTTTGTTGATTTTATTTTTTTTGAAGTTTATTTTATTTTATTTTATTTTATATATATATATTTTACACCATTCTTTAATTTTGCACAATGTATGCTTTCTCATTTCGGTTGATTTTAATAAACCAAGCTTACCAAGCTATGTTGTGCCTAGAGTCACTAATGCAACTCAGAGAAGCAGTGTGAACAGAGCTGCTTGGAAAAGCAAAGGTAATTTGAGAGAA